ATAAAAGATATATAATAAAAATTTTTATATTTAAATAAATTTCAATATCTAATAACTTAATTAAATAAAACAGAATTCAAAATTTTATTTTGAAAAAATAATTTATTAATATTTATCTGATGTATCAAAATTTTCACAATAGATCATATATATATTATTATAATTATAAGTATATTAATAAATTTTATTATAATAAGTTAATTGAATATATAAAAAATAATAAAATAAAAGTATTTAATAAGAAAAATAAATAAATTTTTTATAATATATTAATTTTAATTAAAATTTTATAATTTTAATAAAAATTATTATAATTATATATTGTAAAATTTATTAAATTATAAAATTTTTATATATAATATAGTCAGATCTCTCTATAACTATTATACTTAAGAAAGAAAATTGGATAACTAAAAAGAAATATAATTATAAAGAGATTTTTTTAATTATAATTAATTAATAATTATAAAATATAATTATAAAAAAAAATAATTATAAAATGATATAAAGAGATTCAACTATATAATTATAAAGAGATTTTTTTAATTATAATTAATTAATAATTAAAAAATATAATTATAAAAAAAATAATTATAAAATGATATAAAGAGATTTAACTATATAATTAAAAGATATATAATAAGCTAATAAGATTTAAATCTAATTTAATAATATATAGTGTGTTACAAAAAAATCATAATTACTATTTTTGCTTATATTTAATGAATATTTATTTAATTCATATAAAATTTTAAATATATATACTTGATAATCTAGTGAAAAAGTTTACTTAAAAGTATTTAATAACTTATCTTAATAAAATTTTTCATAATTAAAATTTTTTTATTAAATTTTTTTTGAAAAAATTGATTATAAAAAATTTAAAATGCTTTTTTAATCTTTTTATTTTTAGCTTAAACTAATTATTTTGATATAAAATTAATTAATTTTTATTAATTATTAATTAATTAATTTTATATTATAATCAAATCTCTCTATAATTACATTTTTTTATAATTATCTTTTTTAAGTTTCTCAGTTATTAATTAATTATATTTAAAAAATCTCTTTATGATTATATCTTTCTTTAGTTATTTAATTTAAGTATAATGATTATAGAAAGATCTGATTATATTATTATAATTTTCTATATATTTGTTTAATTATTTTTCTTTATTATTTTATAATTTTTAATTATTTAATTAATATTTTGATTAAATAATTATAAAACTTTTAAATTTAATATATAAATTATATATAATTAATAAAAGTATATAAATATAAATGCTTTTTTAATTTAAATAAAATTATTATAAAAATTTAAAAATAAATTATTTTTTTATATCATTCTTTATTATAATTTGAATTATTTTGTCAAAATAATTCAATTTACCTCACAATAAATCCACTTCAAACTCGGATTAAAATGACTGTTTCATTAACATTCCTATTTTTGGTAAATTCCAATATAAAGATTAAAAGCTTTGAAAACGTCCAGAATTATAACAAAATTTCCAGGATTCAGTCTGATCAAAACTGGAAATATTAGTAAAAATAAAAAAAATTGCATACCAACTTTGATATTATTGCCATTATTTTTTTATTTTCTCTTCAAAAATAAAAAAAAATAACGCTTAAATTATTAACTAGATCAAACAAAAATTTAGCCACATATTTTCTAAGATACAATAGATTAGTAATCAAATTTTCACTAAATTTTGTTTGGGTAAATTACTATACATGTATATTTAATTGAATACGTTAATGATAGCAACTTTTTTGTCGGAGAGAAGCGCAAAATGAAAATCTGTCCTTTAAAGTGTCATACTGTATGTATGACTAATAAAAAAAGTAAGCTTAAATGAGTTAATTTCTGATAGATTTATCAAGATTTGGTATCGCTGAGTTTCTTACTTAACGGAGACGCACAGTGATTGTCTGCTTTACGGATAGAAATTTTGTGATTAACATCCACCTACTTGTAATTAACACGCATGTATCATTAGCGTTAGTATTAGGTAATCTTCTGAAAAAAAAATATTTGTGCTTTTCGTCTCGATTATCTTGATAACTTCCTCTTTTTCGTCTTTTTATTCTTAATGATCGAATCTCAAAAATGAGAATCAGGCGTAATATTTAGGATTAAGAGCAAGCAATCAAAGATCTGAGAACTAAAAAAATTGTGTTCGATTATTGAAGATGCTTAAAAGAACAAAATTAATTAACAGGTACTCTGGATGAGAAACAGCATACATGTATTTGTAATAATAGAGTTATATTACGGTAATGACAAAGTGTATACACAGACATACACAATTTGATTCCTTTTAAGACATAGTGCATATCCCCCTTGCTAGTACGTATTTGCATATCGATATTCGTTGTTGGCTGATAAATAACAGATAAAGCAACCAATAACAATAAAACAGAAAACAGACAACGAAAAACCAAACAACATAGCAATAGTTGATTTCTCTCCTATTTTCTTTGACTTTCGAACAATTTACTAAGAGTGAATCTCTTTCTTTGTGATCTTATGCATTCAGCATATGGATATATGATTCGATCAGTGACTGATTGACACTAAGATGAAACGTATCGGTATAATTACCATTACAAAGGGCGTATCGGTATGATACCATATTCGCATATTCGAATGCCATAAAAAATGAAAATTCAGCTATTTAACACGTGTAAACTTTTTGCACAAAAAAATATTAATATCTTTATTAAAAGACTTGCATGCATTTATTAATTTAATGAGAAATAAATCGTTTTTAATAATAACATGTATTATCTCGTGGAAATTGCGACGATTATTTCATTTGCTAAAGATTTGTACATTTGTATATAAATAAACGAGGCGTTGTATCGTTTGCTTTTTTTTTCATTAAAATCTTTCGCGACTTTAATAGCACTTTGTCGTTTAATAATATTAACAATCCTTACACTACACTTTTAAAACTTAATCAAAACTTAACGGCAAAGTATTAAAGATGGAATCTTGGCCAACTAATGATGCTGGAAGTCGTGTTTCATTTCATAGAAAAAATATTCTTCGAAATACAAAAATTTTTAAAAAATCGCTTGAAAATACAAAGCAAAAATTTGAAGTAGATCAAGAATTAATAAACAAATACCCAAAAAGAAATACTAATACAGATAAAACTAATAAAAATAGTATCGTTAATAGAGTTTCGAAATCATCATCACCATCAAAACCTCTACCATTAACATCACCAACACCAGCACAAACACACGCAAAATCACAACAAACAACACCAGCACAAACACACGCAAAACCGCAACAAACAACACCAGCACAAACACATGCAAAACCACAACAAAAAACACCATCATCGAAGATAATATACCATAAACCAAAAAATGATGACTTCAGCTCATTAAGGAACAGAAAATTTTATTCCTCAACATCATCGTCTCTTCGTTCCGATAACAACAGCATCCAGAACAAAATTTCAAGCAATGCAACAACAACAGCACCTAACGTAATCCAACGACTTCCACCAATCGGTGACTTGATACTTTTCTATCATGGATATCCGAAACATCAGTTAATTATTGAGGGTGCATTCATGGCAATGCGAATTGAGAACGGTGAATGGGTTAGTGATTATGATAGATGGGCAATCAGATCGAGATTGAGTGTTGAACTTTCCAAGAAATGTCCACCTGGTTCATTGGATTTTCTCAGTTGGCAGGCATTGGCCGACTTATGGAGAAGAATTCCTAATACTAATTATGAATCATCTTATCCAAAACCTTTGTCTCCTTCGACTATTAATATGAGGACTGCTGTCGTTTAACAAGTTAGCATTACACACATGTAGTTTTATTTTGTACATTTTTATATACATGTACATACATATCGATATAATTTAATTCTTAAATCATTTCTTTGAATTTAGATTGATAATTGAATTTTAGAACTAATTTCTTCTTTTTTTTATTATTATCAAGATAGTTCAAAAAATAGAGTACAAAATTTTCCCTTCATTAATTATTTAGCGCGCGTAATTTCTTTACAAGCGCAAACAGCTGTAGAGCAACTCATTAATAGCTATATAGCCATCCATAAAAATCAAATTATTTATTAATTAAAGCCATTCGTTGATGATTATTTACTTGCAGCCAATGTTATCATTATAGATATTTAAGTTTCTTTTGAGCTTGAGTAATAAGATGAAGTGTAAATAAGAATATTCTTTTCATCATTTGCGTCCAGCGAATGAGCGTCTTCAATTTATGCATAAAAATAACATAAACGATAATGTTAGTTTTAGGGCCATTATTGTTAATAATTACACTTTAAAGTTTCGAAGCATGCTCATCGCTGAATACGAGACGTTAACTTTTTTAGCTCGTCGAACGATCGTATGTAAAATTTTATGGTAAATATTCGGAAACCAGTTGTAAGCACGATTTTAGTTCCGCACAGCTGAGTTCTGAGATCGAAGTAGAAAACTTGTCCCTCTCTATGTATTATCTGCTACTGGCCGAACACGAATTTTTCTACTTCATGATAACTGGTGAATCATAATTCAATCAATTACAATTATTTGTTATTCCGAAGGCTTGCTTAAATCAGTTAATATACCATTCAAAAGTGGAATTACCATATGATTAAACCATGTATCCAAAAAATATATAAACATCATTTTAACAACCGAATTTTCACCAAACTAAAATATAAATTATTCTTTTTTCAATAGCAAAAGTAAAAACATAATGTATCTTTTTCTCTCTCTAAAAATCACTATTTGTGTTTTGGCAATCGTGATGAGTCTTGTGACAATCTTTAGTTGTTGGCGATTAAGTCAATTTAGAACGATCATTATGAATAAATATAGGAGCAATGGTCTTAACATTGACACGAATGTGAATAATAATCTGAATAAAAAACCCTATCCTTCTTCTGTAGATTTTGTAAAAACCGGCAATGATCTCTCGATTAAACAATCAAAAATCGTGTTAGATCTGAAAGTTATCGACCTTCCTGAAACAGGGTATTTATACGTCATGATACCGATAGGTAAAAAGAAAAAGCAATAACACCAAAAAACTCTGATAAAAATTTTTCTTACGAAACTGTTTAACTAAACAGAATTTTTCGCTTTACCGTCCCAATGGTTTCCTTCTGAACTCGAGACACCAACATTACGTAAATATGCCATTAACAATCCAAATTTTGAGATACTTTCGCCGCGTGAAACTAAATATATTATGATGATGGAATCAAAAGCAAACAAGTCGGTGATATTTTTCGAGGGCAGAGGAAAAGTTGTACTAGAACCTAGATTTTTTTATCATACTCGAGAAGGAATACCGAAAGAAATAAGTGAAAAGAATTTTTCTAAAGTTTATTTTATGGATGATAATGGAGAGAAAAATGATGATGAAATCAAGTGTATCGTTTATTAAAATTATTGATGTTTTCATTTGATAATAAAATGTAGTTGTGAGGTTTATTAATAAATAATATATATACTAAACATTTTTTTCCGTTTTTTCACACCACGCTAATAAATCTGAGAGTAGGGCCCCACCACCCTACTTAGTCCCGGCAAGTTGAGAGCACTCACCACACCCATTATTATTGTATTATTGTACTTGTGCCAACCAATCCATAATCTAATCCCCATCAAGACCGGTGGCACGTGTACAATAAAAAGGATACAGGTTATATAAACCGATAACCTTTTTATTGGACAATAATAGACAATAAATGTACTTGAAATTATAAAATTGAATTTTCTCTGTATTTATAGATTTCTTGCTTAGTGTTTCAAATTGTGGGAATTGACAAAAGAACTGTCATACCCCCAGTGTACAAAAGTATTCATCACGAAAGAAAAAAGGTAATACATGTACACGTATGCTGTATGTACAAGGAACTTTGTACATGTAAATGTACATGAATATGTATTCTTTGAGTTATATCGATATGGTGCGATCAGCGAATACAATTATTCATATTCAGCTATTGTACGAGTACTTGGCAAGGTTTACAAAACGTTTTAGAGAATTGGAGAACTGAGGATCTCTTTGAAAAATTTTCTTAAAGGGGTTAATAATTTCACTTTCCCTTCAGTTGAAATCAAATATACTATTATTTATATGATAGTCGCAAGTTAGATCAATAAAACATTATTAGATTATATATGGAATCAGGTAAAATTATGCGAATGATTATGTTATTGAAAATTTTATTAGGAAATTTTTAGATTCAATCTTCATCAAATTGTGTTTGTTTGGGCCTGAAGAGATAAATTAAACTTACAACTAGCAGAAGGACTAAACTGTATTCGTGACGAGCGCATAAATACATAGAGTATGGTAAATGATTTTCGTTACAACATAAATGACATATCAAAATTTCAGAATAAGGACACTCGATGCTTTCTGGCGATGAAGCTTGTTATGATACGTAGATTCAGCATTTTACTGGTGACGTCGAATGAAAAATATCAGATATATTTAGACTTGTATTCTACTCTGGATGATTTCTAGTAGTTGCGCATTTACGAATGGATTAAAAGAGCGCTTCGTTGACTGTCGAAAAAGAGAATTTCCGGGATTCTAGAGCTATCAAAGCGTCTTGAAATGACACCTCAACAAAATGTCCGAATATAGATACATGAAATGCAAATTTATAGCTTAAACAGATAATATCAAAAAAGTTTATGATTACATGTACAATTTCATCAACAAATTCAGTAAAATCGTTAGATTGCACTGTATTAAAGTTTATGATTGCATAAGACAAACTTCGTTAAGACGAAGACTTCTAAGCGAAAATATGATTACCAAATTTAATACATTGAGCAAAGATCGGAAACTACTTTAAAAACCGATTGTAGCACACCCATGTATCCAATTGTATTATACATGTACTTTTTTCATTGAATGCTTGCCTAAGTTTACTATATTTTTATTTAAAAAACGCCACCGATTATTCGCGAAATTTAATTCAAAACAGTACTTGTACCTATTTAGATCTTCAGCTTATCGAGTTTACCGCATCGAGCAACTATATAACATTAATAAATATTGACCATTTCTCAAAATTAACATTGCTTTGAATAAACACTCTATTTATTGCTTAAGATTAAAGCTAATGTTTGTATCATTTTGACATGCTCGACAAAATAAAAATCACTACAAATCACTTTATCTTATGTTTTGGCGATTATCAATCCAATTTAGAATCATTATGATCTTTGTTGAACAATGACACAAATATGAATAATAATATGAACAAAAACCTTATCTTTCCGTAAACAATTTGTAAAAAACGACAACGTTCTCTCAATGAAACAATCAAAAATCGTGTTAGGTCTGAAAATTATCAACCTTTCTGAAACAGGGTATTTGTACGTCATGATACCGATAGGTAAAAAGAAAAACAATAAGCGGTAAAAGTTTTTCTTATAAAATTAACTTAAAAAGAATTTTTCGCAAAGGTTTCCTCTGATTTCGAGACATCAACAATATCTAAAGACGCCATTGATAATCCAAATTTTAAATTATTCTCGCCGAGTGAAACTGAATATTATTAATTAAGTCAGCTCAGGATAAAGAAAAAAGATGCAATGAACTTAATTTTTTATCATGTTCGAGAAGGAATACCCGAAAGAAATAAGTGAAAAGAATTTTCTAAAGTTTATTTATGGAAGATAATAATGAGAGAAAAACGATGACGAAATCAAGTTTATTAACAAGTGTAGTCGCGAGGTTTATTTATAAATAATATATACATGTACATGTATACTGAAACAATTTTTTTCGGTTCTTCCCGTTACTATTCTATCCACGCCACGCTAATAAATCTGAGAATAGGGCCCCACCACCCTACTCACTCCCGGTAAGTTGAGTAGACTTACCACACCCATTATTATTGATATACTATCAACCAGTCTATTATTGTAATACTATCAACCAGACTGGTTGATAGCTTTACAATAAAGAGGATACAGGTTATATAAACCGATAACCTTTTTATTGTACAATAATAGACAATCAAATAGTATACTATTAGATGTACTTAAAATTATTAAATTGAATTTTCATACATGTATTTATAAATTCTTGTTTAGAGTTTCAAATTGTGGGAATCGATACCCAGTATTCATCGTCATCACGAAAGAAAAAAGGTATATGTAATACATGTACACTCACTGGACAAAAGTTTGGAATCGGGTAATGATCAGCAATGTAGGTCACGAATTTTGATATTCGACTTCTCTTTAAATAAAAAATATTCAGCAAAAGAAGGGCTATTCATACATATATTTAATATCGGGTTGGATACCCTTTTGTATCTATTACAGCTTGCACTTCCTCGGCATACTTTCAACCAAATTTTTTAAAATTTCCGGTCCGATTTCATTCCCATTCCTCCATGAGTGCATCCATCAATTCTTCCGGATTTTTGGGATGTGTTGGTCGTGCACGAATTCGTCTTTCCAAAACATCCCATAAATGCTCAATTGGATTTAGATCAGGACTCTGGGCAGGCCATGGAAGTGAAGCTATTAGATTTCTCTCTCTCCATTCATCAACATGATAATTTCTGTGAACCGGCGCATTATCATCTTGAAAAAGATGAACAGAACTAGCTGGTAGTTCATCTAAAAAGGGTCGAAGATGCTGTTCAAGCAATTCTACATATTTTTGGCCAGTTATTGCACCGTCAACTTCGATTAATGGTCCGAGTGCATTTCGGGTAAAACATTACTCCTCGATTACCCGATTTCATACTAGGAAGAAGACAATCAACGTCATATTTTTCGCCAAACCCATTGCCGTGAATCATTTCTGAATATTAAATACCTTGATTCATCACTCCAAATTACTAATTCCCATTCAAGAACCCAATCTTTTCATTCTAGTCACCATTTTAATCGTTTACGACGCTTTTCCTCAGATATGAAAGGTATTCTTAGACCGCCCGACCAAAAAATCCACTTTCGTGAAGATTACGACGTATGATTTTAAAACTAACCGAAATTTCCAAACTAGTATTGAATTTTTCAGTAATTTCATCAACTGATTGCTGCCGGTTATCTTTTACAATGTTGATTATTATTCGGGTATCTCTATCATTTAATATTGGTGGTCTACCTTTTCAGGCAGCAACTGTGGTTTGGCCAAACTCTTTATATTTTTGTATGACGTTATGAACTGTAGGTTTGGATCGTCCTAGAGTTTTTCCTATTTTATGTTCGGAAAAACCACACTTCCATGCGCCGATTATCTCGCCACGCTCAAAATCCGTAAGTTGGCAATTTCTGCGAGTATTGGTTGAGTTTGACATTTTTTTATATCGTTTTAAAACTTAAGATTTTAGCGTTAAAATTGGACGTCTGTGTGTTGCACAAATAACGATGCAACTCACCCCTTTATTTAATTTTATCGATGTAAATAAAGGAACGTCTAGAAAAAAAATCTAGCATATGCGTCAATGACGACATAAATAATAAAATGGATGGGATTTCTCTTTATCTATTGTAAATTGAGAGCAACCCATCGTCCTCTCCGTTTATGATACAATAAACAACAGAAAATCTAAACATGGACCAGCAACAAACTGATATGAAAACTACAATTAATGATTTATTGATTGTTTTTGACAATATCGTCAAAAATTATGAAGATGTTGATACAAATTTAATAAAGCTTGCTACAATTATTTTGGAAAAAACAAAAATACCCTTGGATAAAATAAAACTTTTACAAAGGTTACATGATAATAAATATTCTACAATTCTAGGATTCATTTATCATATGGGTTTGAATATTGAAAAGGATTATGATCACGCTTTGCAATATTATCAACAAACAGCATCTCAAGGAGATGGTATTGCACAATATCTAATTGGGAAATTATATGATGATGAGGCTTGGATTGAAAAAAATGAAAAAAAAGCATTCGAATGGTATTTAACATCAGCAGAGTCTGGAGTTCCTCAAGCACAGTATAATCTTGCTTTCTGTTATGAAAATGGCGAAGGAACAATTAAAAATGAACAAAAAGCATTCGAATGGTATTTAAAATCAGCAGAGTCTGGACATTCTAAAGCACAGTATAATCTTGCTCTCTGTTATGAAAATGGCAAAGGAACAATTAAAAATGAACAAAAAGCATTCGAATGGTATTTAAAATCAGCAGACTCTGGATTTGCTAGTGCAGAATTTTTTGTTGCCAGGTGTTATGAATTTGGAATAGGTGTAGAAAAGGATGAAGACAAAGCATTTGAAATTAATTTAAAATGTGCTCATTCTGATAATATATTTAGCCAATTTTTATTAAGATATAGTTATAAAAGAGATTCAAGAACAAAAGAAATGGAAATAATTTTATTTAACTATCTTTTAAGTTCTGCTAAAAATGGCAATATTCATTCAAATTTTCGACTTGG